CAACCTTGCTTCTCCGAGAGCGGCTGCAGCAACACGACGAGGCGGCTTCGGAAGCCTACGTGAAGCCTTCTCTGAAAGCAAGGCGGCCTGCCTGTGTGGGCTGACTCTCGACATCTGGTATGCAACCCTGCCTCTCCGAGAACGGCTGCAGCAACACGACGAGGCGGCTTCGGAGGCCCACTTGAAGAGTTCTCCAAAAACAAGGCGGCCTGCCTGTGTGGGCTGACTCTCGACATCTGTATGCAACCCTGCCTCTCCGAGAACGGCTGCAGCAACACGACGAGACGGCTTCGGAAGCCTACATGAAGCCTTCTCTGAAAGCAAGGCAGCCTGCCTGTGTGGGCTGACTCTCGACATCCGGTATGCAACCCTGCCTCTCCGAGAGCGGCTGCAGCAACACGACGAGGCGGCTTCGGAAGCCTATGTGAAGCCTTCTCTGAAAGCAAGGCGGCCTGTCTGTGTGGGCTGACTCTCGACATCTGTATGCAACCCTGCCTCTCCGAGAACGGCTGCAGCAACACGACGAGACGGCTTCGGAAGCCTACGTGAAGCCTTCTCTGAAAGCAAGGCGGCCTGTCTGTGTGGGCTGACTCTCGACATCTGGTGTGCAACCCTGCCTCTCCGAGAACGGCTGCAGCAACACGACGAGGCAGCTTCGGAGGCCCACTTGAAGAGTTCTCCAAAAACAAGGCGGCCTGCCTGTGTGGGCTGACTCTCGACATCTGTATGCAACCCTGCCTCTCCGAGAACGGCTGCAGCAACACGACGAGACGGCTTCGGAAGCCTACGTGAAGCCTTCTCTGAAAGCAAGGCGGCCTGTCTGTGTGGGCTGACTCCCGACATCTGGTATGCAACCCTGCCTCTCCGAGAACGGCTGCAGCAACACGACGAGGCGGCTTCGGAAGCCTACGTGAAGCCTTCTCTGAAAGCAAGGCGGCCTTGTCTGTGTGGGCTGACTCCCGACATCTGGTATGCAACCCTGCCTCTCCGAGAACGGCGGCAGCAACACGACGAGGCGGCTTCGGAAGCCTACGTGAAGCCTTCTCTGAAAGCAAGGCGGCCTTGTCTGTGTGGGCTGACTCCCGACATCTGGTATGCAACCCTGCCTCTCCGAGAACGGCTGCAGCAACACGACGAGGCGGCTTCGGAAGCCTACGTGAAGCGTTCTCTGAAAACAAGGCGGCCTGCCTGTGTGGACTAACTCTCGTCATCTTGATTGAAGCCCTGCCACTTCAAGAACTGTTGCAGCAACACGACGAGTCGGCTCCGTTATGTTGCACAGAAATATTAAACACCGAGCCATGTTCAAGACGTCGTTCCATTCCCTTCTCGTCTCCCAGGCTAATATTGCGGGATTTAGCATGTCTTCAGCTTACACCGGCTTGTGTGCACGCATCTGCTAGTTCCTCTTAGATTGAATCTTTATTTAGGCAACAACATACAAACAGTCGTTGCCCAAGAGCTGACACAAAAGGCAAACAGAATTGCCTCACGAGGCGCCGCCCCCCCCCTCCCCCCCGCTCCCCCTCCCAATCACAAACATCATACACACTTGTCGTACACAATATAACAGCATAATAAGGGTACAGCAAAGGTTACAGAATAGACTTGCACAGCAGAATTCAATTTTAGAACACCCCTGGCCCCGAACACGCCAGAAATGCAGTTCGTTGAATGCAGAGTACACAGGAAGTGCCCGAGGTCTAATTGAACAGTGCAGGTCTACAGAATTTGCTTGTGTTACCAGTTTTTGGCTCATGAGCTTACATCACATTGTAAACCTAGGACACAGGACAAACACGAAAGGGCCTTTTAGTGTTTGTCCTGTGTTCATCCTAGGGATGTACAAAATACGAACTTCAAGAAGGTTATGAGTCGCAAAGATGCAGGGCTGTGGCACTGCAAACAAAAGCTGCCACAAGTACATTCGCTATACACAAATGCATGCTGGTGCTGTCCCAGAAATATTTTATAGTGATTCAAAGGATTAGACCTGCAATGAAGTGACATAGTTCCGTACTAAAATAAGTGGATGTGGGGCGGTCAGTTATAGTGCCCAGATGTAGTACAGCTGCATCTGTTTTCTCGAAGGTAAGAGAACTGGGAACAAACAATGCAAGCATTGTAACAGGAAACTGTTTTGGGCAGTACAGTACAATACCGAAATTGTTCGTTTTAGGGGGTTTTACCATGGGGGAGGGGGGAAAGAGAACAACCAATGCTGTCTATATCCACCATTTGATCATACAATTTTTTGACTTCGAATGCTACATGTCATCGCAGCAAAAAAGCAGGGGCTAGAGGAGCTGTGGACAGTGGCCTGCAATGAACACAGAACATGAACCAGAGCTACTATGAATGTGGTATGCTCCTTGTTACCAACAATAAACCTTGTAGATATACTTGCAGTTTTCTTGTTGACTGATTATATTACTATAACTGCTCATATTAAACCAACAATATTGTATAACTGCTCATATTAGACCACAATTCTCACCACTCCACATTCCCAGCTTTGATGCAGTCGACTTCAGCTGCAGAAAACACGTTTTACACTATTTTGAGAATCTGCTGAGTAATCCGCCTGTTACAGCAATCTGGCACTTTACCAGTCATTTCCAAATGCTGTCGGACATCTCGCATATGCCTATCGCGGTGCAGCAGAGAGCCGTTCGCGGGCGTGGTATTTGATGCTGGAGAGACTGAAATCGCAAGCTACCAGTTCAAGAAGCAAACAATATAAACTTTTTCAACAAAACCGCGACCGTAACGTAAGGGCATGTCACATACCAGGCAACATAAAAAGCGCGAATGTTGCGCGGCAGCGAAGTTGCAAACGCGGTCCGCATGCCCGATTGAAAGCGATGGCGACGAAGCGCGACGATAGCTGCAAATCATGTTTTCTATGCATCACATTTCCTTGCAACTGTTGAGATGCCGGCCAGTGCGGTTTGATAGCACAGACTCCCGCTCTTTCGCGAGCGACCTGAGCGACCGCTACGAATACGCACGCCACAAACCTGCTTGCAACCCGCTGGCTGAATCAACTGTCAACATGCACTCTGACTCCTCCCAGTGGGAGTGCGGGTGAGGACACCCGGCACTCTGGTTGGTTGGCGCACTGATACAATTCTCTTTGAGGAGAATTCGCCGGTGCACAAGTTGAGGTGAAAAAGAGTATAGTTCAGATTAGAGTTGTCTTTCGGGCAGCAGCTTCAAATATTGCGGTATCTGATATTCGCTTCAAAAATTCCGATTCATTTTCGATGTGCTGGCGAAGTCACGATCGGACCACGGCGAGTTAACCCATTGAGTGCGCTCCTTGGCATGCACGAACGCGCTGCAGAGAAGCGACACCCTCGGGGCAGACACCGCAGTCGCGCAAGTCGCGCAGTGCTTTGTGCTCCGAAAAGGACAATGAGGCTTTACCAGCACTACATCCAGAGTTTGGTGCAACTAAACTATACTTCGTTTCAGCTTCGGTGTGAGCGCAGCCGAAGCTACAAGCGCGCGCATGGAGCCCGTAACGCTGCCCACACTGCACGTGCCCACGCACGAGTCAGGAATGCACAGAGCATTGGGCTCGCGCTAGCTTTGACTTCGCTGGTAGCTAGCGCAAGGGGACAGGGCGGGCCTAGGGTGCCTTCATGTGCGCTTTGCTTAGGGTTACAGTGTTCTAGAGAGGGTTGTAGTGGCAAGAGCGGCGGCTGCTTTGTGAAGATTTTGCGCGTAGACGACACCATGGCGCTGCTGTTCTGTGCCCTAGGAGCGCGCCCCCGTCAGCCCCATCATCAGCGCTGTTCGGCGCTTACTACTGTGGTTTGACTGGAGCTTTTCGCGGTGTGAAACAACTGCTAATGTAGTTCTGTATACTCCGTTTCACCTTACGTTGTACCGCAGCGAAGGCTGGAAGCGCGAGCTCATAACGTTGACAGCTGCCCTTACTGCACGAGAGCTTGTGCCGCCGAGATCTGCCCCAGAGCAAGGGGCTCGTGCTTATAGCATTTCCTGCGGTACACCATAAAAATCCTAGTTCAGCCTTTGGACTAATGCCTCTAGAGTGTGTGCTATCCTCTACTTGAAATATTTGCGTGTTTTGAGGAAGAGTATTTAATTAATATCGACTCCCCCCCCCCCAGTACTGACAGATCGTTCAGCAACACTATCACTTGGGCTGCAGGCTTAATAGCGGCGAAAGAAGTTCTACGGTGCTACATTTTGGAGAAGCGTACCGCGTCTCCCTCGTCGTCTTCTTCGTTCATCGCACACGTGCCATTAATTCTCCTAGGGCACAGAACTCCAGCGCCACGCGCGGTATCTACGTCGACCGTCTTCACGCGCTTCATTGTAAGCGGGCGCCGCTCTTGCCACTACACCCTCTAGAACACTGTACTTAGGGTGGAGACATCCGGCCATTTTGACCCACACTTTTATTTTCATTTTTTGTTCAGAAGCGCGTGAAAGAGCGTGCCCCTGCACGCGTTTGTGGCGCTGACTGTGCTATGGCGACATTTTGTCCCACGTTGATTTCTTTGTATTTTTCCCGTGAGCGCGTGCTGTCGGCATCGGGTATAACAATGGTTGGCATCACCCTAAACAGAAGGACATTGAGGCACCCTAGGCGGGCCAACATTGAAAACATCCACAAGCTCGGCCTTTTTTTTTTTAATAGGCTGCTCAGTGGGATGGTTTTTCGCTTAGCCTCTGCGGCTTTGGTCTCAGATGTTGCTAACGTTGTTCCTTTCAATGATGATGATGATAATGCGCCCTCGCAGTTTCGGTTTGCGTAACAGTTGCGGCGCGGAAAATACCGCGGAACCGCCACGCGCTCCGATAAGACTTCGATTTTTATTTTTTATTGCTACATCTCATCTCGGCGCAGGCATGGCGAAATTCTTCGGTAAAATGACAATTTGGCGCTACATGTAGCAGGATTGCGTCCTTGGCGCAATTTGGCGCAATTGGCGCAGCACTTCCATCACTGAAGGTATGCTACCGGCGGCGCGTCATCCAACGCTTGTTGATCGCAATTGATCGGCCAGATGCCGCCATGCCGGTTCGCATCAGCTTGCTTGCCGCCGTGGAGATGTTGAAGGCGGCGTGGATGGAACTCACCGCGGAGTGCATAGCAAATTGCTTCCGCAAGGCGGGTTTTATGGGCCCAGGCACCGAGGACGCCATAGATCACCCACAGGAAGGCCGGTCGCACGAGGACTTGTGGCAACGCGTCGTTGACACGCAGCTGGCCGGACCTGACGTTGCCTGGGACGATTTCGTTTCTGCTGATGACGACACCGACATCGCGGAGCCGTGCACTGACGAAGCTATTGTGCGTGAAGTGCGAGCCCTTCCCGACTGCCCAGAGACCGACGAGGACGATGACGAGGATGCTGCTCTACCGCCGGTTGCTGTGAACGCTTCAACCGCGATCGGTTACATCGCGTCGCTTAAGGAACTCGTGTGCAGCAGAGGTCTTGGTGATGAACATATTACCGCGCTGGAAAAATTAGAAACGGCAGTGATGCGATCAGCTTTGAAGAAGCAGACTTGCATCATGGACTTTTTTCAAAAATAAAGTTAACTTTCTTCTCGCTTGCTCTTTTTGCCTGTATTATAGGTGGTCCACTTACTACGAACTTTGGATACAACGAACAAATGCCGCGTGGCGATCAAGTTCGTTATAAGTGGGCTCGACTGTATAGCCCGGGTTTCTTTCTAAATTTTAAGGTGCGAAATTTCGGCCACATACAATATGCGGATCTCAAAACTTTTCGGCCCAAATTCACAGTTTTGGTTTCGATTTCGGCATTGGGCGGTGCTATCATCATCATTAGGTGTCTGCGCGCTTCTGCGTTAGGTAGCGTTAGTGGCGTTGGTGGCGATAGTCCTAGAGACCTACAGGACAGGCGTGCAACAGTGGCCATTGCAATCACTTGGCGCACATCACGACGGCCACAATTTTCTGTGATTTTACACCATGTCAGGACCGCGCAGGCAGTACTCGGCTGCCTTTAAAAGAAAAGTTATTTCTGCTGCCGAAACCATCGGCAACTGTGCTGCGGAGCGGCAGTTCGACGTGAACGAGCGGAGCATTCGCGGTTGGCGGAACCAGAAGGAAGCCCTTTTTGCATGCAGCGGCCAGAGAAAAAGTTTCCCGGAACCGAAAAATGGAGCGTTTCCCGAAGTGGAACGAGAACTGACGGTCTTTGTTCGGAAGCAACGAGCTGCACATCTCGCGGTGAACATCGAGCTGCTGCAAGCAAAGGCAAGGGAGATCGCTCGAGACAAAGGCATTCAGCGGGCGGACTTCAAGGCAAGCAAGCATTGGGTGTCTCGCTTCATGCGCCGCGCTGGGTTCTCCCTACGTCGGCGTACGTCAATCTCGCAGAAGCTGCCAGAAAGCTACGAAGAGTTGCTTGTGGCTTTTCAGAAGCACGTGATTTCTTTGCGAAAGGCAGTCCCCTTCCAGCTGGGCCAGATCGGCAACGCTGACCAGATGCCGGTGTACCTCGATATGCCCTCGGCTCTAACGGTGCATCAAAAAGGCTCCAGGCAAGTTACCGTGCGATCAACTGGGAACGAGAAAACGCGGGTAACTGTAATGTTGTCCTGCACGGCAGACGGTCGCAAGCTGCCACCCTACGTGGTGTTCAAACGAAAGACGCTGCCGAAGGGGGAGAAGTTCCCAAAAAATGTTGTCATCCGCTGCCAGGACAAGGGGTGGATGGACGAATCGCTAGTGCTGGACTGGATATAAAGTCCGTGTGGTGTCGACGGCCCGGAGCACTGCTGGGGTTCCCATCGATGCTTGTGCTCGACGTGTTTCGGCGTCATCTGGCGGACTCCGTGAAGCGACTGCTGTGCGACTCCCGCACCGAGCTCGTCGTCATCCCGGGAGGGATGACATCCCAGATGCAGCCACTTGATGTGTGCATTAATAAGCCGTTTAGGGACCACATCAGGCGCCTGTAGATGGAGTGGATGAGGTCCGGAGAGTTGGAAGTGACCCCTGCCGGACGGCTAGAACGGGCCTCGCCAGCTCTGCTCTGCGCATGGATCGCCGAGGCGTGGACCTGCATTCCCGAGGCGCTGGTTTGTCGTGCCTTTAAAAAGTGCTCCATTTCAAATGCGCTTGATGGCACGGAAGATGAGGTGCTGTGGGAGGACATTTCCGACAAGGGAACTTCGGAAGAGAGTGCGTCAGATGAGGACGACGAATAAGGTGTAATGTAAATAAATGCATTTTTCTGTTATTCTTCAACTATATTCGCGTGAAAACATTTTTTCTCGCGTTTTCTATCCCCGAATTACACCTCGGACTATATGCGGGTCCGAACTATACGCGGGTTTTTACGGTACGCACAGGCACTGGGCACACAGAAAGAAGCCCTCCCCCCCGTCCGGAAGCTGCGCCAGCTCTTCAAGAAATCGAGAGGGAAACAGAGAAAGATGCAAGCTACTTATAAAAATATGCACCCAACAGGAAATGAAGTCAATCCATTTTCTTGCCCCAGCAATCTCGTCCCTACAGTTCATTCCTTGGGAAGAACATGACAAACTGCCGTTTCTGTTAAAGGGATGTTGCAGTTCTGATAAACACGCTTCTAAACTGCCTAGACGATGTGGAAGTCGATTCATTCTCACATATATCTTTTCCACCTTGGGAACTTCCCCTAAAATCATCGTATCAAATGCGGTGTATGCCACAAAACACATTTTTCCCGGAAACAAGTTGACACGTAAGAAAAGCACCGATGTTGAGTTGATGTCAGCCAGGTAGCACAGTGTACAGGTTTGGAAGGGACTTTTAAGGTCAGTTCAAGCAATGCAGGATCTCAAAGGAATCGCATGCACTCCATCAAGTGGGAAATTGAGTCTTTTGTTTTCACCCCACTGGTGCTAGTGTAGTGTTTTTGTTTTTTTTTATAAACTGCTTTAGATGAAACTTGTTTTACTGTTTGTGCATTCAGGCTCATCTTTTATGATGGGCAGTGTTTATCAGGAAGTCTGGGACGCATAAATTTCATCCAATATCCCCTCAGTCATCCACACCACGCCCTCATCTCGTGTCAGATCACCCACAGACGGGGTCTTCTTGTTCATGCATTAAAGGCATTTCTTCCGATCAATCTATCACGGCCAAATAACGACAGTCGGCAATGATCCTGGAATCACTCCAAAACATCCTTCCGACAGCCTTCCTTTCAGAAGAGCCTTCCACAATGCCCACGATACGAGTCATTGCTGCCACCTCCGCAGAGGTTATCGTCGGGAGGTTTTGCGAGCAAATGTCCCGTCCCGGGAGCACAATCTCCGGCAGTCGGCAACCATGTGGCACAGTCCAGTCGCTCGCGATAAGACTCACAAGGCCAGCAACATTTGCGGTGGTAAGGCAATTTCTCTTGCGTCCGCACGCGTGCCAATCGCAGGCATGGTCCGCAGTGATGCCGGAAGTACAACTCCTGCCCGGGAAGAAACATACATTTTCACAACCGTAGTCGCAGGAGCTCACCACGACTGCTGCACGTGCTGAAGTGTGTGTCGGGATGACCGGCGATCACGATGCAAGCAAGTCGAGCGGGTGGTCTCGGATCATAGTGCTTACGACGACAAAAATTATTCCGAAATTGCATGTCACACCAGTGAACCATCAAAAGCGGGGATCCACATCGGCGTCAAGGATCTCGGAACACCAGTGCAGTTCCTCTTCGACACTCGAACATCCGTCTTGCTAACAGATAATGCCACATTCACACAATGGTTTGCACGTGATGCACTCGTCGTGCAACCACCACCGTCGTGAAGACCACTGGGAGGTCTAACGCTTTTACCCCTCTTCAATCGCAACATCAACCCTCGTCCACAAGCGCCATTTGAAACATCGTCACCATTTTTTTTAATTCCCTCGTACAATACCATTTCATCATCGTTGGACGTGGCGTCGCGGGCCTGCGCAGTATGGGCTGCCTGCCTTTTTTCAGCGACACCGCAGCTCTTCTGAGCCAAAATGGATATCTGTCCACCTATCTAATGACATTGCCAAATTACTCCAATGAATATCATGGAAGCCTTAAAGGTGACGATGGTATTCGTAGCAAGTTGCACCCAACTGTTGGTTTAGACTGCGAACACCATTGTTAAGCGGGGACATAGTGTGGCACTAGACATCCAAATGAGTGGAGCAATGCAGTTCCGTTTTTATACCGAGACCAGAGACATTGAAGATGCCTCTACAAGTGCTACAGAGCAACACCCCTTGTCGTCATCCGTACACTAACAGAGTTGAAGGCATTAAAACCAGCATGTTCAGAACAGAAGACTGGATTATATCCACGTGTCGATCTTTGTGAAGTAAACAAAACGGTAGTCGTAGACAGCTTTCCTCTCCCACAAGCTAAAGGGTTGCTAAATCCCCTGAACAGAGCACAGCGGTTTTCAAAATTTTATCCCATGCACACATACAGTCATGCCTTGTTAATAGATACCATGTTATATGGACAAACTTTTGGGGGACGAAGTGGGGAAATATATATGCGGCGGGTGTGAACTTTGATGATGCGAGTTGTTTATAAATACTCCCGATTATGGACAATCCACATTGTGAATGATTCTTAGGGATGCCTGCACAAAGTATACTCCCATGCATCACAGAGGCTGGAATGAAGCTTAACAACACATATGTGTTAGATGTAGCAGACATTTCTTTCCTGGAGCATAAAGTTAGCCCTGGTGGGACTTCACCAGCCACAACCACTTTGCCAAACATGGTGCCTGTTGGCACTTGTCCGAACATCCGTACAGTGCAAGTTGCATCACTTCAAAACACTTCATTTAGGAAGCCACGTTACTTCCTAATCTGGTTACATATCGAGTAAACAGACCCCATTTGCAGACACACACTGTCCTTCAATGTCACCAATGGCGTAGCACTCACCTCGGTGTTGTTCCATCGAATGACAGCACAGACGTGGCGCCGTTCTAGGATCTTGTCAATGCTTTCTGCATTGGCACCCATGAACCATGCACCGCAACTGCACACAGAACCAAAGTTCCCTCTGTAAGGACCCAGCAATGTGAATGTCAGCATTATGCTTGTATTCCTGCACCCATAAACAAAACAACACATTAATAATACGGTACAATGATGCAAATAAGCAGTATTAGACAAGCCAGTTACACGGCCGAATGAGCGTTTGGAAGGGCCGGAGGAGAGCTTTGAGTGCCAAGAATCTCGGAGGCCATGGTCTCACTGTTTGTGGCACATCTTACGAGCTGCACCAGTACGTTCCATATTGAGTAACCCTGCCAGTCACATCTAATTTTGTTACTTTCTGAAGTAATCCTATTGTTACTCACACTCCTTGCTCAGCGTGTTGCAGTCATTTGTAGAAGTACCCTCATCCCTAACACACGAAATCAACTCTTACCACTTCAATTCGACAAATGCAGAGCAAAGTCCCAGCTGTAGAAGTATACTACCACCCAGTGCCCATCACATTAACGCTGCAATGTAACCTGCAAGAAAAATGACCTACTTGCTCCCCTACAGTACGGGTTCTGACCAATTAGGTTACACTGCTACAGTTAAGCACTACACCAGCACAGTGATGTGACCGGTCCGAGTCCTTTTGGAGCACTATTTGGAGCAGCCAAAAGTCCCTTTTAGAGCAGCAAAAAGTACCTTCCGAGCATAAGAACAGATTTCATTTTCATTTATATCAGTGAGAATATCACATTAGGATCTATGTGCTTATGGTACTTTGCATTCCTGCTTCCGTGGAACCTTTTGACAGCATCAAAAGCATGACAGGTTTGATTCCCTAGCTAGCAGTGTAATTGCACGGCGAAGCACAAGGCACGGTAACAAGATATTGAGTGATGGAGGGCAGTATGAACTGCTCTGCATGGTTATGTTAGGTACAAAATTAAACATTAATCAAGCTAGTACATTCCACTAAAATAATGTTAGAATATAATACTTTTGAGCATACAAATCATTGTTTTCTTCAAGTTCCAAGGGCTGTAATAAACTGCAGTTGTTGCTTTAGATATAAAACAAAACTTTTGTCACTCACATGATTATGAACATCCCTGACATTTTATAAGCGGAAGTTTAACAAAAAAAAATGTATGTAAATTTTTTTTTTTTCAGGGCAATTTTTTTTAGTTTATTTAGGTTATTTCCAGACTTGCATTTACTGCTCCAGCTAATTTAATTTTCAATTGCTGTATTTATTATATTGCCAAACAGACAGAATCTATATAAAGGTACTAACTAAACGAGAGTTGACATCAAAAATAAACATATTACGTTTTGCGGACAACTATATTACGTTTTGCGGACAACACGATTGTTTTCTCGACACTCGTCAAGTGCATTGCACGCTGTAGGGACACCTCGTCACGCGTGCATCAGTGGGGTGCGTGTTAACCCATCCTCCCGCCTGCATTCACGACGCTTCGCGGCAACAGTATGCGGCGGCTCATTACAAAATGTTAACTCACCTGAACGACCCGTACACACTGCTTCGCGGTGACAGTCTCATGCAGCTTATCACAGAAAAAGGCTAAAGTGAGTTGTCGATGAAACGATTTCTCCATGAAACAATCTGTCGATGAAACATCGCGTGTTGATAAAACGATCTGTTAATGAAACGTCGTTTAATGAACTGATTGCCACCGAGGGCACCGTCCTCCTCCAACGTGACGTCACGTGCAAGGCATGTACAGCCTGCATTGCAGAATGCGGGTGCGTGCTCAATCCGTGCTGCAAGCGGTGGCACGAGGTCCCGCTAGCAAAGCAAAGCGGTAGCATACGATCTACCATAGCCTCCACTATACTGACAAAGCCTGGCAGATCACCACGGGACGCGGCCGCCCAAAGTGAAAAGGTAGAGCGGCAGACAAGAGTCAAGTAACGGGCGCCCCGCTGCGGCGAGACGCCGAAACACACTTGTCCCGAGCGATGGAATGTCCGCTCGTGCTTCTCGCGTTCCCTGGGCTACCGCTTCGTTTCTCGTCGGGTTTGAAAACCATGTTTAGGGTCCTTGCCGCTGCAAAAGCTGTGCACTGAATACCAGACTTTCGAGAAACACTCCGTGCTTTTAGATCCTCGCGCTCCAAATCTGCGACCGGGCACTCTATGGCTGCGTCATCGAACTGCTAGGCTTTGTGAGTATAGAGGAGACTATGAATCTAGGAAAAGTCCCTAGTTTTAGCAGGCAGCAATGTACGGCCCCTGGCTCGCGTTTCGGAGCATGCTTCGAAGAAGGCTATGTTCGAAGTCACAGCGCGAGCTCACGTTAGTAATGCCATTTCGCACAGCAACGCCATGCTAAAACTGGCTAAGAACAGCCAGTTCTGTTAAAGCTGTTGTGTCACTGAAGGTCTATTCACACGATGCATCTTGTTTGCAGATTTTGTGTCACAAAACTAGGTTTCGGGAAACGAATTCCCCGTCTGAACGCAACCGAAAAAGTGGCGCGCCTCCAAAAAAAGTGGTGCGTGTTCCTCGCTTCTGGAGCAATTTTTCACTGAAACCTCACTGACGCCTCTCAACCACCGGAGGGAGAAACACGGACGCTGCCAATGGCCGCTCGACTTCGCTATGATGTCTGGCGTCGGAGGCGAAGCGAGCTTTTGGAGGAGTCCGATTTTTGGCCGATTCCGTATCCGAGCCGAAGCCGAAAAAGGAAAAACATGGCGAGCGACAAGCGGAGAAACGGTGCGTACGGGCATACGGGCGATGAGTCTTGGTCCTACTCGGTTGCTAGTGTGTGAACGGCGCTTTAACAGTACGGAGTGGCGTAGGCAGAGGAGGGATTTGGGGGGTTGAAACCCCTCCTGAAATGCCGAAGCTCCTCCCTCCCCCTCCCCCTCCCCCCTCCCCCCTCCCCCCTCCCCTCCCCCCCCCCCCCCCCCCCCCCCCCCCCCAAACGGGGTCCGGTCGCTCCCCTGCTCACGCAGTCGGTTTTGCACGAGGCACGGAGCAACGGGGGAGCACTGACCATCCCCAACTTATAGGCTTTCGGAAAAAGTGCTTCTGGGGTAGAAAATGCTCAAATTAATAAAATATGCAAAATTTCTTAATTCATGTTTATTCGATGGGATGTAGAACGTGATCTCAGATATATAGAGAACGGATATTTCGAAACATTTGTGAGGTGAAAGATGGCAATTTCAACGCAAAATATAACAAACTATCCTCACTGAAATACACAGTTCCATCAAACCAATGTGAACACAATAAAACGAACACACGGTGATAATATGAAACAATGTCAGTGATGTAGAAATAATAAATGAATTGTAAAAAAAAATCACACTGTAAGCAACGGGTGGCGCTGCGCTCACGCACACCTTTTGTGATCAGAATTACATGCTTTCGACTAGAAATTACCGCGAATAAGAGGGTAACTGTGCCTAGTTGTATTAGAATGCAATTTACAGGTTCTCTTTGTCATCTCATTTATGCCAAGCGCCTACACATTAAAATGAAGCCGCCTGCGTTCACGGAAAAAGATATCCCGGACGTCCTCCGCTTGAATTTTAATGTGGCGGTGAGATGTTTCGGTGTCGCCCTTCCCTCCGTGACGTCACGACTGGGATTTGCCTCGCCGTGACGTCACCAGTTGTTATTCTGGCTACTTACCATCGGGTGCGACGACGAGTTCGATGGTGTGTTTAAAAACCACAGTAGAAGCTAGGAGCCATCGCAATCCGAAACTAACACCGTCAAAGTTCACAATACGCCAGTGCTCATATACCCATGGTTTGGCCAATCGTAAAAGCTGACCACAGCGACGCTTTTGGGCGCGCACATCGCTAATTCTTCGTTTCAGCTTAGGTCCAGACGTAGCCGATGCTACAAGCGCGAGCTCCGGGCTTTCAGCGTCCCTGCCAAGCACGCGCGCTCGTGCAGTGCAAACACCGTTCAGGGCCACATGTTCACGCCTGTAGCATTGGCTGCGTCTGGAACTAAGCTGAAATGAAGTATAGGCCCGTAGCTCTCAAGTTTTGAGCAGCGCTCCAGGTGAGCAAAATATAATATTTGGCTCGCGTTTCGAACATGCGTCCATATACTTCCCCACCACAGTTTTTTCTACACCATTCCATACTAAGTGCCAGCGTAGCAGAGGCTACAAGAGCGAGTTCCGAGCTTTCAGTGTCCCTGCCAAGCACGCGCGCTCGTGCAGTGAAAGCATCTTTGAGGGGAACATGCTTTAGTAACTAGCTTCGGCTTCGCCATCAAGTAAAGTGAAACACACGGGCTCACGGAAGCCATAAAGCAATAAAATAATAAAGCTGAAAGGAATGTTCAGTGGGACGCTGAGGCCGCGAGCTGCATAAATGCTTGCATTCGAACGTGGCACGTGCAAAATCAAACGTTACGGCGCCACCTGGATGGTGCTGCCTGTATAACATGGTCGCGTTTTGCGGACGCGCTCGCGCCCCCTGCCCGAGAACAACGGGTCTATAGACCGAGCAGTCGCTCACTCCAAGTGGATGCTCTCAGGTATGTTTTTCAACCGTCGTAGTGAAGAGAACGAGCGCTCCCGCCGTTGTTTGCCACTAGGATCTTGAGGAGACGATGGACGTTCTGAAATAGGGCCTCCGGACAGAGGGCGACCGCCTGTATACCGCAGACGTGACGGGCACTTCACGTTTCTCCCTCTTGCATTGGACGCCTAAAATTTCCCTATTTTTGGCGAAGTTTCCCTCACTTTGCAAAAATCGTCG